ACAGGAGAGCTAATGATACCTGAAAAACCCATAAAAGTCACAACACAGCAAAAAATAACCGGCACACACTTCATAAATTTATCAATATGTAATTATGGTAACACTCAGGGCAAACCTCCATCGGCACTTTGTCTGTAATTTCCCATTGCAAAGGAAAGTCTCTGTTGACCCGAGTGCAGCTCAATGGCAAAACACCAGATACTCGGTACGTTTTAATTAAAAATGTCAGACGCTCAGCAAAAAGCGCTGGATCAGGCACGGGCTAAAAAGGTAGGAAAACTAGCGAGATTCCCCAGGCAGCACTATGAGCACAGCTACAGGTTGATACTGTAATTCAACAAAGCCAGATTTGTCATTTTAAAAAAAAGAATATGTTGACGTATAGTTTTAAGAAATGGGTAATGTGCAAAGCGCCTGAGTGAGGGCCCTGCCTGGAGAACAACTATGACAAACCTAATTACACAGAGGGGGCTGCTGAGAATTAGCGGGCTTTTCTGACAGTTGAAAATAAATAGGGCAGTTAATGAACGTCCTCAAAGGGGAGGCCATGTTTCCTCGCTCTGGCCGGGCTCTCCCATGTGGTGCAGCAGCCGCTCTAATGGTTTTAACTGACACCCGAGTAAGTGAATTTAGAGCAGAGGAGAACAGAGAGGCAAATTACAAGTCACTTCCTCTTTCCTGGAGTCAACGGCTGACATGACTGATATCAGTCAATAACAGGACCACAGGCGAGGGAGGGCTGGACGGGGAGCGCTGTGTTTACAGCTGACATGAGGCTGGATGTGGATGTGAGGCAGCAAGGCAGTAGGACGTATAACTTTCTATTCCAACACTAAATGATGAACATGAAGCACTCCAAAGATATTGGTTGATTCATCAAATATTAGTCAATATTTTCTTAATCAAACAATAAAAGTCAGGGGGACAGGATGTTCACACATGCAGCTTACCCAACCATTTTCAGGAGTTTTGTGGACGTCTAAATAGGGCTTCAAAGTCATTCTATACGTTATAGTCATAATAGTAAAGTTGTAAAGTGACTGTTTCTTTGGATGTGAATTAGGGTTAGCCGATTAGTCTAAAAGGTAAGAACAAGCTCAGAAAACCGTAAAAATTAAGCACAATGTATTAAAAAAAAAATACTGGATGACAGTGTCTGAAGGTATAAAAATGTCAATTTGGTTTGCTGAGTGTAGGTAACGTTAGCAGTGCTAGCACAACCAGCCCTTGCAGGTTAACACACACACACCTGTGCTGGTTATACATTGTTCTGGTAATGTTGTTCAATGACCTCACAGAGTCTTCTTACAACTAGATTGAAATACTACCAAACAGCGCTGTTCTAACGAGATGCTAGCCCCTCTATGTGCTTGTTTACATCCAGGCTGTAGAGCATGGACAGAAGGCCCAATCACTGGTGCTGGAGTAGAGCCGAGTGGCTGTGTCACAGTTGAGAGTATTGATAATATTATAATTCTGGTGCATGACTAGCAAGAAAGACGGTTAGTCAGCCAGTTGCACATCCCTCATCTTGATGAATTCAAAGTGTTAAAAAATGGCACACACATTAAAAACCCACAATAAAATCACTCCTACTGACATTTTCTTGAGATGTGAAAATCATTTATCGACTCTTCATGTGAGAACAGTTTATGAAGCAAATTAGAGCCGTCTCACAAACATGTCTCTGTCAGGATTCAAAGCATGGTACACAGGTCACACTTCATCTTTGTGTCAGTCCGCTGAGGTTCGGTGACTTTTTAAACACATTTTCCAGTGCAGAAAAAACGCCTGACAAGCGTCTTGTTTGACGCACATCACACCTCAGGGCATTGTGAGCGTGCCGCTGTTTGCACTTGGCCTTCCACATTTGGAGAAAATTAAAACAAATGAAAACCAACACTTCATTTCTGATGTTATTGCTGGTAATGAAGCACTGCTGTGATGCTTTTTTCAAGCCCCCCGGCCCCCAAAAAAACCTCCAAACTTCCTCCCCTCTCGTCGCACACCTCTTCAGCCTCTCCAGAGACGTCCTCTTAACAAAATACAGACGGGACGGCGGTGAACGTGCATACTGTATTACAGCTCATACATCAACCAGCAACGGGGCTTCAGGCAGATGTTTGAGGTTTTTAACTGCAGAGTAATGCAAGAACAGCTCAATAATTAGCACGGTTGTTGTACTGAAACGCGCAGGTTATTCTTACGCGTGCCAGGGGACTCGTTGTTTGCCGTAACACCTCATTTGTCCCTCCAAAGCTGCCGTGCAATGATAGAAAACCCTCAGCTGAGTAACAAAGTGTGTTTCTCCGCTCCACTAAAGTCAAAAGGCAAACACAGGGAGTGCTGCTGAGGATGTGATGTCACATGACAGGAAAAGAAATAAACTTCGGACGAGAAAGGACGAAAGTTTTAGTCACAAGTTGAAACTTTTTTAGTCCATCATTAAGACACCGACAATGTTCAAAACAGAAAAAGGAGGGATTCAGACTCATGGAGGGACTGTATTACATTTAATGGATTCAACCTTTTTAATGGAGAAGGGCATTTTACTTCGCCATGCCTTGTTTAGCTCAACTTCAGTTTATGATTTCCTCTACTTCCCAGAATGCATTTCCCCTAGGGATTGGGCAAAACCATGTTCTCTTTCATCTGTTCTGAAACCTTCACACTTTTTGATTTTGAGGTTTGAAGTCTTTGAAAACCCTTTCTGCTGTCAAACTAAAGGCAGATGCTCTAAATACAAAAAACGTCCTGCCACACATATTCCCGATGTTTGTAGCAGTGAATCGGTTTGAAGAGACTATAACACTTGAAGGCAATCGACAAACCCTAAAAGTATTACTTTTTCCCTTGCAGATTTGACCACAAGAGCTGCACTTTGAATCACAGCCGAAGGGAATCTTTGTAAGATTAAAGCCATGGAAACCTCCTGCTGGTGATTTCCTTAAATTAAATACTTACATTTAAAATAAGATACATTTAAAAGGAAAATATCATCAGGACAAACAACTGTAACAATACAAAAAGATCAGAACTTGCTAAACCATTCACCAAAGCGGTGAAGTTTTTCTTTATAAAAACTGGCACCACCATGACTGTTATCACAACAACAAACAAAAAAAATATAGATTTATAAATCTAAGAAAATTCTTGATTTAATAACTTACTAAACTTGCCAGAGATTATGTGTTAATGTATCTTCATTAAACACAACCACACCAGAGTTCTCTCTAAATGTAATACAGCCTTAAATGAGTCATCATTTATATAAATATCTGATCAATGAATAAAGAACAAAACTAATCATCTTAACAAACATTCAGAGCTAGATTTGACTATTTCACTGTTTAAATAATCAACATGAGGGACGATGGAGTGCATTTTAATGACAATTACTTATCTGAGGTAAAGGTTCTGCTGATGTTGGAGATGGTTTTAACTCACTAAAACCCTTAAAAAGAAATTAGGAGTGTACATGACACAGACTAATCCTGAATTTTTTTAAGGCAACACAGTAGGGATGTAAAAAAAATCTTGATAAATCGAGTCAAAAGTGTCAAGGTTCACATCGGTACTCTGAAGAAAGAATCTCAATAATATGGTGAGCGTCAGCAGCTGCAGAGCAAGATTTAGAAACTGAGGACGCACCACCGTCTTTTAAATCGGCGGTGTGGAAGCATTTTGGCTTCCCCAAGACGGAAAATGAAAGAGGTGAGAAGATTACAGACGAGAAAAAATATTACAAGAAGACAGAGAACTACACAAATAGCACAACCAACATGATGCAGCATTTATACCAAAACGAGAAGCTCCAATCACCTCCTCTTGTTGAGTGAAAAACAGACTAAAGCGGGTTTCACAGCCCCTAAAGGAATATTTTTCAGTCATCATTTATCTACAGTTTCATTTTGTAAAATAAATCGTGAGAGAATCGTATCGTGAGTTGAGTGAATCGTTACATCCCTACAACACAGATATTGATAATTGTGTAGCGTAATAGAATGGGTTTGTACTCATTTCCATGATTAAAGACACACAAAAACAAACTTTTTGATGTTTTGAATTATTAAATTTGGTCATTTGCAGATTAAAGAATAATAGCTGAAAAATGTATTGAAGCTCAGTTTGGTCTGAATCTTCTTGTGTGTGTGTGTGTGTGTGTGTGTGTGTGTGTGTGTGTGTGTGTGTGTGTGTGTGTGTGTGTGTGTGTGTGTGTGTGTGTGTGTGTGTGTGTGTGTGTGTGTGTGTGTGTGTGTGCACTCTTGAAGTTAGAAAGAAGAAGAATATTGTAAACAAGATATTTGTTACTGACGTACAAACTTGTCAGTGCGGTTTGGAGAACAAACTACGTAACTGAGACAACCCTGCCTTAAACATACGGCTTTAAAGACCACAATTATTCTTTATTCATCTAGGTTAGCACACACAGATATGTAAAAAAAAAAAAATCTGAATAAAGTACCACTGACCCAAGCTTTAAATATAGAGTACTACATTTGATGAAAGAATAGGTAACACACACCTGATTTTTCTACTCTAAAAACAGCTCAAACTTGTTGGCTTGCTTGCTATTCTTATGATTCTAGCGACCAACACTATTATGAAACTTGTTTATTAAACCAAATGAATCTCAAACAAGTCATCAACATTGTCATATCACACCTGTATATGTAATTACACCAAATACAGCAAGTGTCATCTTATTTGAGTGCCTGCTAGTGAGTCAGGGAGCATCAGCATGTCTTGTAAACATTGAAAAACCAACACAAACCAACCAACCAATACAAAATTGACAAACACAAAACACAAATTGAATTAGTTTCCAGTCATATTTAAAGTTCAAACTATATTTAAACTCATTAGCAGGTGTTTAACAGGGTGGGGAGTGAGTAAATAAAGACACTAATCCAGCATGGTTTCAGTCTGTGTGTTTCAGTCATGCAGACAGACTGACATCTTATCCACACATGGAGGCTGTTTGTGTCCGCAGCTCGTACCTTGTTTCCCGTACATGTCCCAGCGCACAGTAACCTTTTCGGAGAGCTAAACTTCTGAATTGTCCTGAAGAGATGTTTGAAATTTGTCCGCACGGAGAGCGCCATCTTGGTTTGTGACGTCGTACTACGGGAGCTCTGAAAGGACAAGGGGCAGAGAATCGCATGTCATTTACGTAACGCGTTAGGAACTGCGAACAGTGTCATCGTGAGATCATAACAAGAGTGAAATAATGTAGCTGATGTAAAAAGATACATTTCTCAAATAAAGCTGTGAAATAAAATATTATATCAATAAATGCAGGTACTTTATAATATGAGCATTCAAAAGATTAAATCTTCCAATAAACATTTTTAAAACGTATCTCGGTGTTTTTAAATGCTTATTCTTGAATTTTGGGAAACAAAAATTTTACAATTAGAAAAAAAAACATGACCCTAAGACACAAGCCGAAAAGTGTTGCTCTAGTTTTTTAATAAAGTTGATGTTGAAGTGAAGTTGAAGTGTTGCTGGAGCTTTTTTCTTTTTTTTTTAAGCCTTTCCCTCTCCATGCACCTTGGTAGTTGGTGAAGTCGTGCCAGAAATTCCTCTGCTTCTTCAGTACTAAGATTTTCTTCTAAGATTTGTATTTTCACCTCTACATATATAATTTTTTTGACAGTTTTAATCATTTTTAAAAAAATAACAACGAACAATGCCCTTCTTGGGAATGCATGGTTTAATGATTGTACTTGAGAAAATGCACCCACATTTTTAACAAAACAACTAATAAAAACCTTCTTGGACAATCAGTAAAAGGTAAAGTCATGACGGAGAACACAGCGCTTTATTTATGAGGTCATAAAAGAAAATGTATTTTTAAGTTGTAGGTCATTCTAAAACAACTGCGATGTTAGAAAGATAATCTTAAAGAATATGCATCAGTGCTGATTTATATACCCAAGAATTCATAAAGTTAAAACAAACACAACCTGACACCTACAGCAGTTTTATGCAACATTTGCATTAAAGCAGCAGTAATATTAATCCAAAGATGACAACAGAATCAGTTAAAATAAATAAATCACTCTCTCTCTTTAAAATTCAGTGTAGCAGAAACACAAATGACAGTAACACCAGTTTAAAAGTGACAGAATGGACATTTCTGTTATAAATGTTGCTGTTGCTTGAGCTCATATATTTGCAGGAAAATCATTCCCTCAGTCTTTTCGTTTGGACCTTTCCTCTCTTTGTTAAACCATTCACCAGCTGCCTCTGCTCTGCATGCACGTCTGAGCCCTGTGCAGCCTATATGGAAGACGAAGATATACAGCTCCCCTGCACCACATTTACAGTAGGCTATAGAAATGTGTCAGACATGTGCGGTTTCCTCTTGTCTGAGGTCTCTATGTTAATTGGGTGGTGTTGTGTCTAGCCTGGCTGCTTCCTTAACAACAGAAATTTCCCAGGGAGCAGCTGCAGAACGCCTCCATACCTCTCCTCATTACAAAGTGTGGATGTATAGGTATAAGTGATTATGCTACACGCTGGGTAAGGTTACAATATGTTTGCAGGGCACACTGGCCGCTCAGACCTCTTGTTTCTCAGACATCTGCTCCTGATTTTTTTCCCCTCCATCTTTTGCATCTGGTTGCATTTGCAGCAACAAAATACAGACTATCATTCCATATTCATTATTATTTCCCGAGGCGGTGAGGCTGGTGGTGCGTTAGATTTAGAGACCTGAGCCGGTATATTCTCTCACGCCTGGGTGATGGGAAGGCTGGTCCGTTGAGCTGAGACTTGAGTTTGTATGCATCCTGGTGTGTGTGTGTGTGTGTGTGTGTGTGTGTGTGTGTGCGCCGTCAGCTCCTGTTTCCTGGCCACCCAGTAAAGGTTGGTCCTCCTGTTCTTTGTCTCATCTCTCCTCTTTTTTGTACCACAGATTTCTTTCCCATAAATCAAAGGTCTTGAGATTTACCCGCCTTTAATTCCTTTATTCATGTGTATTTGTATTTGTGTGTGTGTGTGTGTGTGTGTGTGTGTGTGTGTGTGTGTGTGTGTGTGTGTGTGTGTGTTGGTCTCTTGTTAAAATATGTGGGAAGCATTTTACCCTGAATATGAGTGAGATCAGCGTGATGGTGCCTCCTACTTTCATGTCTAGAACACCAGACTTCATAAATAATTCAAAGATGAATTATTTGGTGAAGTGAAACACTTTGAACAATATCATCCACCTAAATGTAAAAAAAATAGAAAAAAAAGAATGCATTTGTAAATCTGAAAATGTTTCACATTTGGTTGATGGAAATAATTGTTAGTGTACATTTTAAAAATAGAAAACAATGTCAGAAAACAACAAGCAGAAACAATTAAGTCCAAACAATTTAAAAGAGAGAAAATCCTAAAAAAAAAAAAAAACACAACGTTCTACATTGTAGTTAACATTCACTTTATTACCTCATGTATCACTATAGAGGAGGTCCTGAAATTAGAGGAGCAATATGAAACTGTATAGTATCTCAGTTTATGGGGACAGGAAGCTCACTTCTGCTGCTTCCCTGTGAGCTTCAATCCTCTGATCAGATTATTTTGCTGACTTCTACTGTATGATGTAACTGTCACATACTGAAATACGCTTACTTGGTTTTTCAGGAAGTAGATGTGGTGAGATTTCTTTCAGCCGTAGTTTCAGCGGGAGCTAAAGTGTTAAAAAGTGTCCATCACTCAGTTTGAAGCAGAGAAGAAGAAACAGAAACTCAGCAGTGTGATCTCCAGAGAGGGGCGAGAGGCCGCTCAGGTGATGAGTGAAGACGTTGTGTTTTCATCACAAACTGCTCTCCTTTCACCATCGGGGCGACGCTTTTTTTCATCCACATCAGGCTCTCTGCACCTCCTGCTGCGGCTCCTCCTCATGTTGAATGCTTTTCTAACATCTATACTTGATAATTGTTTTCATTGTCTTCTACCTTTGCCATCTCCTTTTCCTCTTCTTCTTCTTCTTCTTCGGGCTCTCCTTACAGTAATATATTTCTCAGTCTTGATCTAATTCCTCTCACCCCTCGCTCACACTCTTAATCTCCTTACATTCTTCAGTACAAATATAATTCTTGATGAAAAGCTACTCTAAATCAAAAGCTTCAAAAAGGTGTAGTTACATAATACTTGACAGAGTTAAACTTAAGCAAAGCTACCCAATGCAGAATTTAAGTTTGCTTACTTAAAGTTACTAGAAAATGTGTTTAGGATGAGGAGGCAAATATCTGTGGTAAAACTATTAGTTTGATTACATGTAGTTCACCACTCCCCAACACAGATACTTAAATATTTACAGATTAAATTCATAGAGAATATGAAATCATGTATAGATACATACAACCATGAATCCGACCTCTGAACACTTATTGTAAAATCTTCTCACACAGAAAACTCTGCAGAAGGCTTTTTGAGCGAAGGGGAGATGCTGGTACGAAATGAGACCAACAGTCCACCTGTCATAATACAGCCAGGCAAAGCATGATGGGAGGACGGAGTGGGGCCGTGGGGGGCTGCTGACTGAGGGGCCAAAGATGTGTGTGTGTGTGTGTGTGTGTGTGTGTGTGTTTTCTGGAATCCTGGATCCTGATGCTGAAAGAAGGGATCTCCCCTCTGACACTGCAGGACTTCTGAGTCCACGGGACGTCCAACCACCCAAGTGGACGGACGGATGGATGGATGGATGGATGGACGGATGGACAGGTCGCAGAATGACAGACAGACACCGTGACAAACAGACAGTGATGCTGAACAGACAGACAAATGAATGATGGATTAGTCAGACAGGTTGGTGTAAGGACAGACATGCAAGAGACCAAATGCGGGGACGGATGGACGGACGGACAGAGTCGATCACTGGTTGGTTTTTAGAATCCAGCCGGAGGGATAAAAACATAATAAAGTGTGATTCTGTGCAGTGCAGAGTACGTGTCAGTGACTGAATTGTCGGTTCGACCGCACACAGCCTGCAGCGTCACTCCCTCACCGGCCTGCTGTTCTCAGAGCGGGAAGCCTCTGCAAGCATAATAAACATTCAGGACAGAGTATTTTGTGTAAAGAAATGTTTGCTTCCCCGAGGACAGTCTGGATTTCATTACTAATCTGTGCGATTGTGCATGTGTGAGAAACCGTGTGTGTGTTTTTTTTTTCTGGGTAGTGCACGTGTGTATGCACATTTGCATGTGTTTCCATGTTCCACCTTCAGCACATCTGCAGGTTTGAGTTATAGGCAAGGCATATGTATCTATATCTATACAGCACATTTCAGCCAGAACGTCTTCCCGAGTTGTTAGGCTCACAGATTGCTCAGTCTCTGTCAGGCACAGCCCTAAGGTGCCCTGGAAACCCCACCCAGGGGTGCTGTGGTGGTGAAATCCACCCGCAGTCGTTCTGGAGAAGTGCAAAATTAAACTAATGTAAGACTATTGAAAATGGTCAATGAATATACCCTTCTATTAGTGCAGTCCTGGCGGCCATTTCATATAAGAGTGGAAACTTTTGATCTGATTCCTGCTGTTGGCTTCAGCAAAGGTCATGCGATGCAGCAAAGTGTCGACAAACACAGAAACACAGAGAGCATCCTCAGTTTACTCTTCCTCCTTCTCTCCATTGAGATCCTCTATTATCAATTTAATAATTACCTTTTCTATCGTGTACTATCGCAGGAAGTGTATGTCAAGTGGCAGGAATTTTTCAGAAGGAAACATTGGTCAGATATTTCTAAAATATCTCAAACATTTGCACAAAAAGGTCAAACACGACTGAAAAAAAAAAAAAACAGGTTAGTAGTCAATCTGGAGTTTAGAAAATAGCTATAGGATCTGTCCAAAATATTTAAATGAGATTTGAAGTCATTTAAAAAATCACCTGTAATCAGACAACCTCTGTATGCTGTCCATCAGAATCAACTTTGTTTGTATGCACGTGTGTGTGTGTGTGTGTGTGTGTGTGTGTGTGTGTGTGTGTGTGTGTGTGTGTGTGTGTGTGTGTGTCTGTGTGTGTTGTAGTGATGACAGGAGAGGTTGGGGTGTGTGTGTGGGGGGGGGGGGCAGAGAGGGTGAAAAACAATTACAGCAGATGGAACTGACGCTTCAGCAGCTTAAGTTT